CGAGTAGCTGGGACTACAGGCATGTGCCACCATGCACGGCTCATTTTTTTTCTATATCTTTTTAGTTGTCCAGCTAATTTCTTTCTATTTTTTTTTTTTAATAGAAACTGGTCTCGCTCTTGCTCAGGCTGGTTTCAAACTCCTGACCTTGAGCGATTCTCCTGCCTCGGCCTCCCAGAGTGCTAGGATTACAGGCGTGAGCCACTGCGCCTGGCCCAAATATATGACTTTTAAACATTTTCTCCCAGGCTGAACTTGTCTTGTCATTTTCTGAGCCATGTAGTTGGAAGAGGTGAGGTTTTTAACTTTGAAGGAATCCAATTTATCAATTTCTTCACTACACATTGTAGTTTTGGGTGTCTCATCTATGAAATCTTCTCTTAACCCCTGTTCACAAGGATTTTATCCTATGTTTTCTGCTAGAAGTCTTATAGCTTTATGTTTTATATTTAATCTCTGATCCATTTTGAGTTGACTTCTGTATATGGTATGATATATGGGTCATAGTTTATATTTATGCATATGGATATACTTGTCCCAGCACCATATTTTGAAAAGACTATCCTTTCTCCACTGAATTGCCTTGACATCTTTGTCAAAAATCAGTTTTTCATGTCCTTGTGAGTCTATATCTGGATTCTTTATTCCTTTGATCTACTTGTCCATCTTGATGGTAATAGCATACTGAGTTTATAGGTTTATAATGAGTCTTCAAATTATATAGTGCTTGTTATCCAACTTAAGTTGTCTTTCATAGTCTAGGTGAGTGGTCCCCAACTTTTTTGGCACCAGGGACTGGTTTCATGGAAGACAATTTTTCTACGGTGTTGACGGGGAGCAGCGTGGAACTCTATGGCTTGATCCTTAACTGGCCATGGACTTGTACCAATCCACCACCTGGGGGTTGGGGACTGCAGGTCTAGGTCCTTTGTATTTCCATATGAATTTTAGAATCAGCTTGTCAGTTTCCTTAAAAAATTTTTTCTAGGATTTTTATTGGGATTGCACTGAATCTATAGATCAGTTTGGGGAGAGTCAGCATCTTAACAATACTGACTCTTTGACTCATGAACACAGTATGTCCTCCACTTATTTAGATTTTATTTAATTCTCTCGGCAAGATTTTGTGGTGTTCAGTGTACAGGTATTATATATCTATGGACAGATTATTCATAATGTTTCATACTTTTTGATGCTGCTATACATGGCATTTTTTCTTAAATATAATTCCTAATATAATTATAATATATAATATAATTAAATATAATTCCTAATTATTTTCACTGAACTGTCTGCAATCAAAATGTTTAATAATAGCTTCGAGAAATCTTTTTGGTTGAAGGCACAGGCTACCGTAGGATGGAAAAGGTATTTGATGCTTAACTTGTATTTACCTGTATTTCCATATCAGCTTTTAGAAGTCATTGGCAGTATATTGAAACCAAGGAGGAAAATCTTCCAGATATAATTCTACAGGTCATTTTCAGAAAATCATACTAAAGGAACGTAGTTTAGAAGCTTTCAATTTTATATGTGTGGTTAGAAATGATTTTGTTACCATGTGTAGTTTTACTTCTTTACCCACCAATAAATCCACCTCAGTGAATTCCTGGGATCCTGAGTGGTGAGAGGATGAGTGAGCATGCATGTGTGTGAGTATATATACATTCGTATGGCACTGAAGCTGCCAGAAATATTTATTGCAAAGAATACTTAAGGTTAATTAGTATATATCAAGTCAGTCCTATTCAGTTCCTGCCACATATTAGGAACAAGACTGGGGTGGTAGTTGTTTGTTTTTTCTCAGCTTTTCTTGGCCAGCATGGTTACCATGGTGACTCAGTGGCTGCTGTAGGATTTGGTGCAGACTGAGCATCCATTTAGGATGCTGGCCTGAATCTCTTACACGCAGTTGCCTGTCTATCAGATAGAGTATTAGCTCTTAATCTTATGTGTGGTTAATAACTTTTAAAGGGCTTAGAAGAAACTTGCTTCACTTATCTGAGGTTAAGCTACAGATAACATAAGAAGTCGGCCAGGCGCAGTGGCTCATATCTGTAATCCTAGCACTCTGGGAGGCTGGGCTGGAAGATTGGTTGAGCTCAGGAGTTTAAGACCAGCCTGAGCAAGAGCAAGACCCCATTTCTACAAAAAACAGAAAAATTAGCCAGGCATGGTGGCATATGCTTGTAGTCCCAGCTTCTCGGGAGGCTGAGGCAGGAGGATTGCTTGAGCCCAGGAGCTAGAGGTTGCTGTGAGGCATGCTACTGTAATCTAGCCAAGGCAACAGAGGGAGACCCTGTCTCAAAAAAAAAAAAAAAGGCCACTAAGTACCTTAAAAGGAAAGGAAATGAGTTGATATTCCTCTTCTGCCCAAAACTCTATTGGGAGGTTAGAAGAAAAATTTCTGGAATCATACAGCATGTGCTCTTTTGTGTGTGACTCCTTTCCATCAACATAATATGTGTGAAATTAACATTTATTGCTTTCTATAGTTATAGATTGTTTATTCTCATTGGTGTAAAGCATTATATTATTTGGACATTTCACACTGTATTTGTTATGGATATTTGGGTATTTTCCACTTTTTGACTTATTATGAATAATGGTGCTGTGAATATTTTTGTTTGTTCTCTTGGATGGACATTTATTTTCATTTCTTTTGAGCATGTACCAATATACGATGACACTTCTGAGTCATATGGTATAACTATGTTCAGCTCAATGGATACCGGCAAGCAGTTAATCAAAGTGGTACTAATCTGTTATTCCTACCAGCAGTTTGTGAGAGTTCTACTTGCCCCATATTCTCATCAACACTTGGTATTTTCGATGCTTTTCATTTTTGTTGTTCTCATTGACTTGTGGTAGCATCTCATTATGGTTTAATTATAATTTCTCTGAAGTGTTAAGTCTCTTTTAATTTAAAGACAGTCCTTCTGTATTATTCAGGATTCTCCAGAGAAAGGAACCAATACAATATATAAAAACATATATATTATATGCAACATATAATATATATTTACAGAGAGAGAGTTTGAGAGACTGATTTTATGTTTTTGAGACATAGTCTCACTCTGTTGCTCAGGTTAGAGTGCCATGGCGTCAGCCTAGCTCACAGCAACCTCAAATTCCTGGGCTCAGGTGATCCTCCTGCCTCAGCCTCCCGAGTAGCTGGGACTACAGGCATGCGCCACCATGCCTGGCAAATTTTTTCTATGTATATTTTTAGTTGTCCAGCTAATTTCTTTCTATTTTTAGTAGAGACAGAGTCTCGCTCTTGCTCAGGCTAGTTTCGAACTCCTGACCTTGAGCCATCTGCCCACTTTGGCCTCCCACAGTGCTAAGATTACCGGCGTGAGCCATGGCCGAGAGACTTATTTTTTATAGGGAGTTGGCTTACATGAGAAATCTCAAGACCTGCAGTGGCAAGCCTGAAACCAGAAGATCTGATGGGTAGTACAAGTCCAAATCTTAAGGCCTGAGAACCAGGGGAGCTGATGGTTTAAGCTGCATTCCAAAAGCTGGCAGCCTAGGCCCAAGGAGAGCTGAATTTTCAATTCAAGTCCCCAAGAGCAGAAAAAGACTGACATCCTAGCTCAGGAAGTCAGGCAGAAGAGTTTGTGCTTACTCAGTCTTTTTGTTCTATTCAGCACTTTAATCGATTGGATGAGGCCCACCCACATTAATGGTGCAATCTGCTCTATTCAGTCTACCAATTCAATGTTAGTCTTATCCGGAAACACCCTCCTGCACACATGATTAGTGTTTGACCAAATATCTGAGTACCCTGTGGTATTCCACCTTCTAATTTATTTGCTTAGGAGACTGAGTATTTTGTCCTGTGTATTTTGCTGATAATATCCTTACATTGTTGTTTATCATGTTCCTTTGGACCCTCCTTTTCTCTTTAAATTGTTATTAGATTCAGAGGCTTCATTCAATTGAAATTTTTTTTTGTCAAAAGTACCTCAAGTGGTGTTGTTTATTCCTGTAGTGTTACACAGGGGGCTCATTGCTCTAGTTGCCTCTCCCCTTGTGATGTTATGATTGATTACTAGGTTTAAGTATTATTAAATTAATCCATCCATTTTAAAGTTTCCCATTCTCCTTTCACCTCAATTTTTCTGCAGCCTCTGAAGACTGTTGCTTAGATCTGCATTCATTAAAGGTTGTAAAAAAGTAATAATGTTCCAATTCTATAATTGTTTTTCTGCTTTATTAGCTGGAATTATTCTATGAAAGAAACTTCCCCTCATCAACTATTAGGTTATACCAAGGGATAGTATGTATAGAAAGAGTAGAAAGTTATTTCTCTTGCAATATTTCCACTTTTCAAAATATTGAATTGTTTCCATAGGGTCCTTCAAAGGTGAGCAATTTTGTTTTGTTTATCTTTTAGAGTGTTATCATGATCTCTAAATTTTTATGTTTGATGTGTTCTAATCCATGGTCATCATTATTTTATTTGATGTTCAAATTGTTTCATTTTTGTCCATTGGGAGTCCCTTAAAGCTTGGCTTCTGAGTCTTCTTGACACACTCTTGAATGTGATAATTTGGTCCAGACTCATCTGGTATAGTTCCTACCCAGACCTGGAATCAACCATTTCTTCAAGAGAGCCTGGTTCCTTTCAATGGGACATGTTTTAAGGGGATTAAATTCAGGTACTAGAGTGGCTCATTGCTACTGGGTTCGTCATGTTTCTTCACCTTTCCAGTGCATGGAGCCAGTATATGTGTATTCTATTTTTAAGAGAAAATACATCATCAGCTTCCATCCTGGGCTGTTCCTTCTTGCTCTTAAAGGTAAAGATTTTCACCAACTTTTGTTATAACCTTCCATTTTTTAATTTTTTTTTGAGTTGACCAATTAATTTATTTCTATTTTTAGTAGAGATGGGGTCTCACTCTTGCTCAGGCTGGTTTCGAACTCCTGACCTGAACGATCTGCCCACCTCAGCCTCCCAGAGTGCTAGGATTACAGGTGTGAGGCACAGCGCCCGGCGGTAACCTTCCAATTTTAAAGTATAAGCAAATATAGTATTTATATTAGCTTTCTTCTATTTTATACATATAAGGTAGCATATTCTATATTAGTGGAGTCCACCCAGAATTTCTACAAAGGTAAAAATAATCTGTGTCTAAATTTCCAAGATAGTAGTTGCTAGCTACCTGTGGCTGTTGAACACCTGAAATGTGGTGAGTGCAACTGAGGGGCTGGATTTTTAATTTTATTTAAATAACTTAAACAGCCACACGTGACCAAGAGCTATTGTATGGGACAGCTGCAGCTCTACACATTTTTTTGTAGTTTGCTTTTTCACATAACAGTATATTCTGGAGATCACTACATTGCAGTACAGAGAAGGAGTTCTCATTGCTTCTTTTACCTGAATAGTACTCTAAGATGTAGATGTAACTTAGATTATTCAATCAATCTCTCATTGCTGAATGTCTCTTATTTCTAGTCTTATGCTGTTACAATTTTTTTCTGCTAGGAATGACCTTGTGCTTATGTCTTTTGTCTTTTTGAATTGTATCTTGGGATAGATTCTTAGAAGAGAGATTACTAGTTCCTGAAGAAAATACCTGTGCCCCATAAAACATATTTGAAACAAAGAGCATCTGGAAATGTAACAGCAAGAAGTGATCATTGATCCTATCTCATCATTTCTTTGATTCCACATACTTTCTGGTCTCTTATTTTTTTCCTAGTGTGACAAGGTAGAAGAATTTCTTACTGAGTCCCTGGAAGAAGAAATAGTACAGAAGAGCCAAAAATATTAATGGGTCAGCTGGACAGAAGATGGGAGTAATCAAACCTGTATCTCAGTTGCCAGACCCATCAACTGACCAAAGGATTTGGGTGAGTCCCTTCCCTTTGTTTGCCACTGGTCTAATACAGAAGGATACTCAATATAGAAACAGTGGTTAGGGCCATGGGCTTTGGGGTAAGAATGACCTGGATTTGACCCTGGGAACCATTACTTGCTGGTTGCGTGATCTAGAGAAAGCACTTTATTTACTATGTGCCCTATAATTATTGTTGTCTTTTACTATTGTTTATTATTATTATTATTCCTACCACCTGTGCAAAGGCTAAATGATAAAAGTACAGATTATACTTCCAGGTATTACAATGTTCCTTAAGCATCCTTCTCCTCTGGAATTTTATAACTTTTGGACAGAGTGGTTGATATACATATTAAAGGAAGTCTACAGGCCAGGCGCGATGGCTCACACCTGTAATCCTAGCACTCTGGGAGGCCGAGGCGGGCGGATCATTTGAGCTCAGGAGTTCGAGACCAGCCTGAGCAATAGTGAGACCCCATCTCTACTAAAAATAGGAAGAAATTAATTGGCCAACTAAAAATATATAGAAAAAATTAGCCAGGCTTGGTGGCGCATGCCTGTAGTCCCAGCTACGTGGGAGGCTTGAGCCCAGGAGTTTGAGGTTGCTGTGAGCTAGGCTAATGCCACTACATTCTAGCCAGGGCAACAGAGTGAGACTCTGTCTGAAAAACAAAAAAAAAAGGAAGTCTACAGAAAGCTCTTGAATTGAGCCAAGCATTAAAAGATTATTTAAGATGTTACAGTGCTTGCTTCGGCAGCACATATACTAAAATTGGAATGATACAGAGAAGATTAGCATGGCCCCTGCACAAGGATGACACGCAAATTTGTGAAGCATTCCATATTTTTTGAGCTTGGCTGGGCGCGGTGGCTCACACCTGTAATCCTGGCACTCTGGGAGACTGAGGCAGGCGGATTGTTCGAGGTCAGGAGTTCGAAACCAGCCTCAGCAAGAGCAAGACCCTGTCTCTACTAAAAATAGAAAAGAAATTAATTGGCCAACTAAAAATATATAGGAAAAATTAGCTGGGCATGGTGGCGTGTGCCTGTAGTCCCAGCTACACGGGAGACTGAGGCAGAAGGATCGCTTGAGCCCAGGAGTTTGAGGTTGCTGTGAGCTAGGCTGATGCCATGGTACTCTATCCCGGGCAACACAGTGAGACTCTGTGTAAAAAAAAAAAAAAAAAAAAAAAAAAAAAAAAAAAAAAAAAAAAAAATTGGGACTGGGTCAGCTATAAAAAGTTCATTAAAAAAGAAAAGTTAGATCAAATTTTAAACCTTATCATTTATTCGAAACACTTATCCACGTGTTAGTACTTAAGATAAAAGAAGACCTGAAAATAACAAAAAGAAAACCCCAGGATACTATACTGTACACATGGTCATAGTAGTTTTATGAATTGTATCTGTAATACATGTACAGTACACATGCACACATCCATGCACAAAGAAAACTCACTGGAAGAATGTAGCATCATGTTAATTTCAATAATGGTGGGATTGGTGGGTATTGATATTTTTAACCTCTGTACTTGCCTCAATGTTAAACATTTGCTGAGATGAGTAAGGATTATCTAGATGCCCCTTGACTTTTTTATGATGGAGTTATAGCCTGATAAATTCATCATAAGTTGAAAATATCATAAATCGAAACTGGGCATTTTGTAGACATGATGACAAGTGAGAACATAAAATACAATATCCAAAAAATGCCCCAATATAGTATACTATAGAGTGTCAGTTGTTTACCCTCGTGATCATGTAGCTGACTGGGACCTGTGGCTCACTGCTACAGGCTACCCAGCATCGCAACTACATGTTGCTAGTCTGGGAAAAGATCAAAATTCAAAATTTGAAGTATGTTTTCTACTGAATGTGTATAGCTTTCATACCATCATAAGCCAAAAAATCATAAGTTGAACTACCGTAAGCCAGGGGCTATCTGTATTTATGATAAAAAAAAAAACTGTATCCCTTGAAACCTCTGCTACTTATGAAATATTTCAGATAAAAAGCATAAAGAGCTATGACATTAGTCCAGCTTTCTCTAAAGAGAAAACTTTTATTCTTCCCTAATTGCATCATCTTCTTCTCCCCTAGAGATAATCACTATCCAGAATGCAATGATCATCATTCTCATGTGTTTCTTTATACTTTTGCTCCATGTGACAGCTTCCCTAAATAATATATAGTATTGTTTTGCACATTTCACTAAACACACACACACACACACACACACACACCTGATCCTTATGCTCAAGGAAGCATTATGAGGAGTTGAAGGGGAGACTTTCATCAAGATGCCAGCCCTGTATTTGGTGTATCATCCACAACACCAAGTGTTTGCTTCCTTCCCATCCCAACTCTTCTGATCTTTAACAAGAAGGTTATTTCTTAACCTTAATAGCATCACTATATTTTAGTGAGTATTTGGGAATGTAAGAAGAAGGAAACCACATACACTCATCTGTATTACATAGGAAGTTCAGTGCCATCTCTGTGCTGTGCAGTGTAATGCAGTGTAATGGGATGGGAGAAGAATCCTCACCCTTTCCCATTGTGTGACCCCGTAGTAGGGAGTTACCTTTAGTGAACCTGATCTTGCTCATCTATAAAATGAGCATGTTGATTTTTACCTCAGAGAACTGTTATAAGGAGAAAATAAGCAAACCTACAGAAAGCATCTGATATATAATACTTTAGTAAATATGTTTGGTAGCCCCTGTGCTCTCTCTCCCACAAAAGACTTAAATATGAACATCTCACAGAGATCATTTGAATTTGAAACATTGGGAAAGGCAATGTATATACATATTTATATGATATATAAATGTTGGTACCATTTCTTTGTAGGATAAGATACCAGAGGGTGGTGGAAGTGACAAAGCAAATCCTCACCTGGTTACTTTTTATTTGATGTGTTCTTCTCTTCCTTTTTACCCTCCATTTTGACACTGGAGTAGGAGCCTTGATTTGAAACCCAGAAAGGAGATAGTGTAGAATGACAAAGCATAAAGATGGGTTTGCTCTACAACACACTGATATCAGAAGACCTGTGTCCCAAATGCCAGATCCATCGTTGTGTATGGGACCATGGGCAGTCACTTCCTCTGAGCTGGCCTCAGCCCTTACATAGAAAAATTTATATTGGCCAATGGTTAGGGATGGGGACTTGGGAGTCCGAGTTTGGTTTAAACTTGGAATCATTTAATAACTGGTTTCATGCTGTCTGGCAAATGTTGAGTGTCTAGATATATGAGACCCACAAGTAATGAGCATACCCAATGGATGCACACATGGAGAGTGTAATGCAAGGAATGCATAAACATGACACTCTTTTTTTAAAGTTAATAAGTGGTAGGATTGCTAATTAATTATATATTTATCTCTGGACATAATTATATTTTCTACAACTTTTAAATGAAATATTTTAGACATAAAAAACTTACAGGCTGGGCACAGTGGCTCACACCTGTAATCCTAGCACTTTGGGAGGCTGAGGCAGGAGTCACTCAAGGTTAGGAGTTCAAAACCAGCCTGAGCAAGAGCGAGACTCCGTCTCTACTAAAAAATAGAAAAAAATTGATTGGCCAACTAAAAATATATAGAAAAAATTAGCCAGGAATGGTGGTGCATGCCCGTAGTCCCAGCTACTCGAGAGGCTGAGGCAGAAGGATTGCTTGAGCCCAGGAGTTTGAGGTTGTTGTGAGCTAGGCTGATGCCATGGCACTCTAGCCCGGGCAACAGAGTGAGACTCTGTCTCAAAAAAAAAAAGAACTAAAACATTACATTAACTGTTGAAACTCAGAGTCTATTCTGCTTGCATTATCCTCCTTTTCTGTGAATACACAGAGGTAATCACTAACAAGAATTTGGACTTTTCATTCTTTTATTTATTTTTTCCTTTTTTAAAATTTTGAGACAGTCTCATTCTTTCACCCTGGGTAAAATGCAGTAGTGTCATCATAGCTCACTGCAACCTCAAACTCCTAGGCTGAAGTGATCCTCCTGCCTCAGCCTCCCAAGTAGCTGGAACTACAGGCACGCACCACCACACCTGGCTAATTTTTCTATTTTTAGTAGAGACAGGGTCTCACTCTTGCTCAGGCTGGTCTCGAACTCCTGACCTCAAACAATCCTCCTGCCTTGGCCTCCTAGAGTACTAGGATTACAGGAATGAGCCACAGCACTGGGCCTGGACTTTTCATTCTTAGTACATTTCTTTATACTTTTATTACATACATATATATCTCTACATGAAATATGGTATTATTTTGTTGCATATTTTGTCTATAGTTGCCTGGCTATCTGATGGAAAGGAGGAAAGAAGAAACATAAGAAGAACAAATACAAACTCACATCTTAACAGTAAGACCTGCCATATTCCTCCTTGTCTTGTGTATTCTCTTTCAGATTTACTGAAACAGACACACCCATTTTCTCAGTTTATATGCTGTAGGGAACACGAACAGAATCTGGACAAACTATTTTCCGCTGTTTTTTAAAATGTGATGTGTTCAAAGTCTTAGAGTTTCCCAGGTGCTAGCTAGCCCAAAAAATGTTACAGCGTATCTTGAACGTAAAATATCTTTCCATCATCCAGGCCCAATTTCCCATCTTTTATTCATACTATTGCTCCTGTATAGCTGGAACTAATCTGGGAAATCTTGGTGTAAAAAAAGACAGTGATTGCCAGAAGTTAGTTTTTATGTGTCCAGTCTACTACCTGAATCCTTGTTTTGTTTAGGAAGGCATCCTATTTTGAACTTGATCTGATTTTCTATTGCAAGTGCTGGGCATGTGTATATTTTCCTTTCCCTTTATTATTTTTAATTGCAAAAGGAAGGCACTTCGCAGGTGTTTTAATTGGCATGTGTTGATTGCTTCTGGGTCCCTGGGCTGAATGAGACTGTGACTCAACTTTTCCCCTGCATCCCACTGTGTAAGGATTCCCACACCCCCTCTGGCAGCTGTGCTGCTGAGCCATGGGTGATTTCATGGATCCCCTTCCCTTTTCCCTCCCCTGTGGCAGTCACTGCTTGGCTAAACAGGTGGGTAAACAGAGGAGCCTGTTGTTAATTCAAGGGGCTTCATTTGGGACAGTGCAGAGAGAAGCATGTTGTGAAAGAAACTACTTTCATCTCATGACTTCACTAAAGTCCGGGGATGTGGAGATGTCATCTGACTGCTGAATGTAAGATTCAGTAGAGAGACATGCATGCCCTTCCTCTGGAAGTCTGTAATCTCCCTGAAGCTGCCCAGTTGGGGTTGTCATGTGAATTGACTCATAAATTAGTTCTGGGACTACCTTAGTACCTAATGCCCTTGGCTTAGGGATGTTACCATACCTGATACCGAGCCACTTTCCTATGGAAAGGGCTGGGGATATGTATTTATTTTTATTTTGTTTTTTACTTCCAAAACCAAGACAATTTTGTTGTAGAAAGCAATGGAAAATGGGACTGGTTGCAGTGGCTCATGGCTGTAATCCTAGCACTTTGGGAGGCTGAGATAGGAGGATTGCTTGAGCCCAGGGCTTCGAGACCAGCCTGAGCAAGAGCAGGACCCATCTCTACTAGAAATAGAAAAATTAGCCGGGTGTGGTGGCACGTACCTGGAGTCCCAGCTACTCGGCAGGCTGAGGCAGGAGCATTGCTTGAGCCCAGGAGTTTGAGGTTGCTGTGAGCTATGATGATGCCACTGCTCTCTAGCCTCTAGCCGGGGTAACAGAGCAAGACTTTGTCTCAAAAAAGAGGAAAATGCATGAAAGGAATAAAATCATTAAAAACCCTTAAAGTTTTATTACTCATGTATAAGTACTGTTAACATTTGAATATTTATTTTTCCAGAAATTATACTATGCAAATGTAATTATATTTCAGAATAGAAATAATATCTTACAGCTTTGTAAATTGCTTTTCCATGATAAATATGTATTATGAAGTTAAATCTATGCTAATAAGTAAATATCCACATTATCATAAAAATGGCAGTAGAAACACTAATGGTCAAATCAGGTGTGAAATGAAGACAAAAATGGTTAATGCTTATTTTGACTTCCTCAGTGCCTAATACTGTTGTAAGTGCTGACTCTATACTAGCTCATTTAAACCTCCCCACAACCTATGAAGAGGAGCTATTGCTGCCTGACTTTAAGCATAAGAGAACTGAGGCACAGCAAGGACAAGGCCATTAAGCGGTGATGCTTAGATTTACACATAGGCTGTGTGGCTCCCGAGTAAATTCATCTAACCAGCACGTGCTACTCCTGCTCATATCATAAGACCTACAGACTTACTGGGGGTTTTTTTTGTTTTTGTTTTTGAGACAAAGTCTTGCTCTGTTGCCCAGGCTAGAGTTGAGTGCCATGGCATCGGCCTAGCTCACAGCAACCTCAAACTCCTAGGCTCAAGCTATCCTCCTGCCTCAGCCTCCCGAGTAGCTGGGATTACGGGTGTGCACCACTACTCCCAGCTAATGTTTTGCGTACGTATTTCTATTTTTAGTTGCCCGGCTAATTTCTTTCTATTTTTAGTAGAGATGGGGTCTTGCTCTTGCTCAAGCTGGTCTCAAACTCCTGAGCTTAAGCAATCCTCCTGCCTAAGCCTCCCAGAGTGCTAGGATTACAAGTGTGAGCCACCGCGCCCTACCTAGCCTTACTATAAATAATAGCAAAGCAAAAAACAAAACAAAACCTAAACAAAACTAAGGTTTTGTATTAGTTTCCTACAGCTACTGTATAAAGCACCACAAACTTGTGGCTTAAAACAACAGAAATTTAATCTCTCACAGCTGTGGATGCAATGCTTTTGAAACATTCAAGAATGTCAAGAACCTTCTGTCTCCAAAGCATTGAACTCAAGGTATATCAGTCTGAAATCCAGGTGTTAGTGGGGGCGTTGCCCATTTTGAATCTCTGGGAAGAACCCTTCCTTGCCTCTTCCTAGTCCCAGTGGTGGCCATGGATTCTTGTCGTTCCTTGCTTACAGAGACATCACTCCAATCTCTGCCTCTGTCACCACATGTTGTTCTGCCTCTGTGTGTCTTTCTCCAATGGCGTTTTCATCTCCTTTTAGGGCCACAAGTCATATTGGATTAGAGCTCCCTCTAATGATCCATCTTAACTTGATTACATCTGCAAAGACCCTAAGGTCACATTCACAGGTACTTGGGATTAGGACCTCAATATATATTTGGGGGGAAGAAAATACAAGCAAATAATAGTACCTTGATTTCTCCCAGTTAACTAGGCAGAAATTAAAGCATTGATAATTATCAGTGTGATATGGAATTTTGGGGAAAATATATCCTGTTATACTGTAGAATAGGCTCCCATGATATCTTCTCTCCCTTTCTGAGCCTCAGGAACATTCCCCATTCTGAAATGTCAGTGTCTTTCCTGTGGATGGGGCTGAGAATGCTTAAGTTTCCCTGCCATTTTATTATTGTGTGTAATGGCAAAAGCAGTAGGTGTTTATTATAGTTTAAAATAGGCTGGGCACCAGTGGCTCATGCCTGTAATCCTAGCACTCTGGGAGGCTGAGGCGGGTGGATCACTCAAGGTCAGGAGTTCGAAACCAGCCCAAGCAAGAGGGAGACCCCCGTCTCTACTAAAAAATAGAAAGAAATTAATTGGCCAACTAAAAATATATAGAAAACTTTAGCCGGGCATGGTGGCTCAGGCCTGTAGTCCCAGCTACTCGGGAGGCTGAGGCAAGAGGATCACTTGAGCCCAGGAGCTTGAGGTTGCTGTGAGCTAGGCTGATGCCATGGCACTCTAGCCCGAGCAACAGTTAGACTCTGTCTCAAAAAAGAAAAAATGATAGGAAAGGAGCTAAATAATATCACCCCCAAATAGACAACTCATAGGTAAGCCCTGCTAATGTTTTCATCTGTATAATATTCTTTCAGAAGTTTTCTTATGCAGATATTTAAGTATTTATGCAGAACTATATGCATTTACATTAGATATATTTATCTGTAAAAGATAAAGTCTTATCCTATATTTAGTTTTGTAACCTGCTTGTCACATTAACAACATATGTCAGAGGTCATTGATTCTGAGTAAACATCAGTCTATAGTCATAGGAATAGTAGTGATAATGCCAAATAAAGATAGAGAAAAAGAAATAAAAACGGCTAAAATGTATTATGTTCCAAGTGCTATTTAGGTATGAGTCATTTAATACTTACAACTATTTACAAGGTAAAAGATGCAGATACTGCCCATTTTATAGGGGAGAAACTGAAGGACAGAGAGAGTAAGAACTTTGCCCAAGACTTCACAGCTAGGGAATGAGTCAGCTTGGATTTATGTCCAGTACATCATGCTCCAGAGCCTGGGAAACTGTCACAGATTTGTTGTTAAATGAAAGAAGCAGCCTGCACAAACATGTATATTTTGGGAGCTCATGAAAAGTAATAGTCTGTTAATATAGTTATTCCAAAAAAACAAGACTTAGTAAAAAAAAAAAATGTGGATTGTGTCCTGTTAAGAGCACATTCATTGCAATCCTGTGGTGAAAGGGCATAGTGCAGTGGGATAAGGAGGCAATCAATGTGAAGAATGTGAAAGGGAATGTAGAAAATTCTTTTTGGTACTTTGAAGGGGAAGGAAGATGGGGGAAGGGAGAGAGAAGAGAATGAGATAAACTGTGGCCCAGATGGGGAATGAGGAATCAAAAGAGGGATTTTTGAAAATCCTCAATTCCTTGAAACTTAAGGAATTTACAATGTTTTTTTTTTTGAGACAGAGTCTCACTCTGTTGCCCAGGCTAGAGTGCTATGGCATCAGCCTAGCTCACAGCAACCTCAAACTCCTGGGCTCAAGCAATCTTCCTGCCTCAGCCTCCGGAGTAGCTGGGACTACAGGCATGCGCCACCATGCCAGGCTAATTTTTTCTATGTATTTTTAGTTGGCCAATTAATTTCTTTCTATTTATAGTAGAGATGGGGTCTCCCTCTTGCTCAGGCTGGTCTCGAACTCCTGAGCTCAAAGGATCCGCCCACTTTGGCCTCTCAGAGTGCTAGACAGGTGTGAGCCACCACCTAGTCTAGAATTTACAATGTTAATGTGAAAGAAGCCATCTCATCTCAGATTTAACCCTCAAAGTTGGCCATATATTCATTTACCTTTTTATCTTCTTATTTCTACTTTAGAGTTTATGAAACATCTCCAGTGGACTAGTATACATTTTGAGCTCAATACATACTTAGTTATTACCTAATGAAAGAATGGACAATTGTGTGTCACAGATATGTTAGTAATTCTCAGATTTTTCTCTCTCAGGGAGGTAGTAGATGACTGACATTTTCACGTGATGTGGCTGGATTTGAGGAGCCTGCACTAGTGACTGTGAGATGGATCT